TACAAACAATAAATGCTGGAGAGGGTGTAGAGAAAAGGGAACCCTCTTGAACTGTTGGTGAGAATGTAAATTGATACAGCCACTATGGAGAACAGTATGGAGCTTCCTTAAAAAACTAAAAACAGAACTACCATATGACCCAGCAATCCTCCTACTGGGCATATACCTTGAGAAAACCATAATTCAAAATGACACATGTACACTAATGTTCACTGCAGCACTATTTACAACAGCCAAGACATGGAAACAACCTAAATGTCCAATGACAGATGAGTGGATAAAGAAGATGTGGTACATATATACAATGGAATATTACTCAACCATAAAAAGGAACAAAATTGGGTCATTTGTAGAGATGTGGATGGACCTAGAGTCTGTCATACAGAGTGAAGTAAGTTCGAGAAAAACAAATATCGTATATTAACGCATAAATGCGGAATATAGAAAAATGCGACAGATGAACCTATGTCCAGGGCAGGAATAGAGACACAGACGTAGAGAACCGACATGTGGATGTGGCGGGGGTCAGGGGGGAGGGTGGGATGAACTGGGAGATTAGGATTGACATATATACACTACAATGTGTAAAACATAGCTAGTGGTAACCTGATGTATAGCACAGGGAACTAAGCTTGGTGCTCTGTGATGACCTAGATGGGTGGGATGGGGAGGTGGGAGGTGGGAGGGAGGTCCAAGAGGGAGGGAATATATGTGTACATATAGTTGATTCACTTCATTGTACAGCAGAAACTAACACAACATTGTAAAGCAATTATACTCCAATTTAAAAAATAAAAGAGGGGACTCACTACAGATCCTATGGACATTAAAAGGTAATAAAGGAATAATATGAACAACTCAATGCCCACATATTTGAAAACCTAGATGAAATGGACCAATTCCTTGAAACATACAATTTGCCAAAACTCATACAAGAAACAATCTGAATAGGCCTGTATTTACTAAAGAAATTAAACTAGTAATTAATAACCTTCCGAAACAGAAAGCACCAGGCTGATATGGGTGCACTAGTGAGTTCTACCGCACATTGAAGGGAAAAATTAAACCAATTCTCTACAATCTTTTTCAGAGGACAGAAGCAGAGGTAATACTACCTAACTCATTCTATGAGGCTAACATTACTGTGATATCAAAACCAGACAGACATTACAAGAACAGAAAACTACAAATCAGTATCTCTCATGAGCCAAGATGCAAAAAACCTCAACAGAATATTAGTAAATTGAATCCAACAATGTATAAAATGTATTATAAACCACAACCAACTGGAATATATCCCAGGTATGCAACACTAGCTCAACACACAAAAATCAATTAATGTAATCCACCCATCAACAGGCTGAGAAAAAAAATTGCACGATCTTATCAATAAATGCAGGAAAAGCATTTGGCAAATCCCAACACCCATTCAGAATAAAAATTCTCAGTAAACTGAAAATAGAGGGAAACTTCCTCAACGAAATAAAATCTACAAAAAACCCTATAGCTAACATAATATTAGTGGTGAGAAATACCAAGCTTTCCCACTGAGATCAGGTACAAGGCAAGAATGTCCTCTCTCACCACTCCTTACCAATACTGTCGGACTTCCCTGGTGCCACAGTGGTTGAGAATCCACCTGTCAATGCAGGGGACATGGGTTCGAGTCCTGGTCCAGGAAGATCCCACATGCCGTGGAGCAACTAAGCCCATGCGCCACAACTACTGAGCCTGCACTCTAGAGCCCGCGAGCCACAACTACTGAGACCACATTCCACAACTACTGAAGCCCGTGCGCCAAGAGCCCGTGCTCCACAACAAGAGAAGCCACCACAGTGAGAAGCCCGCATATCACAAGGAAGAGTAAACCCCTCTCGCTGCAACTAGAGAAAGCCCACGCGCAGCAACGAAGACCCAACACAGCCAAAAATTAATTAATTAACAACAACAACAAAAAAAAAAAAATCGCACTGTGCTGTAAGTTCTAGCTAATGCAATAATAGAAGAAAAGGAAATAAATGGTATAAAGATTGGGAAGAAAGAAATAAAACTGTATTTGTTCACAAATGACATGATAGTCTATTTAGAAAATTCTAAAGAATGGATAAAAATATTCCTGGAATAAGTGATTATAGCAAGGTTGTAGGATACCGGATTAATATACAAAAGTCAACTGATTTCCTATATACCAGCAAGAAACAAGTGAAATTTGAAAATTAAAATACAACCCATTTAAATTATAAAACAAAAAAAAAATACTTAGGCATAAATCTAAGAAAATATTTATAAGATTTATATGAGAAAAACTACAAAACTCTGATGATAGAAATCAAAGAACTAAATAAATGGAGAGATTATCCATGTTCTTTGATAAGAAGACATATTGTCAAGATGTCAGTTCTTCCCAACTTAATCTATAGATTCAATGCAATCCCAATCAAAATCCCAGCAAGTTATTTTGCGGATATTGACAAACTGATTCTACAGTTTATACAGGGAGGCAAAAGACACAGAAGAACTAACACAATATTTAAGGAGAAGAACAAAGTTAGAGGACTGACTACCCAATGCCAAAACTTACTTTAAAGCCATAATGAGCAAAACAGTGTGATATTAACAAAAGAAACAATTCAACTGTCCATCAACATAGCACATTCATACAGAAGAAAACACATGATGAAGTAAAGCTGTACACATCAACATGAAAGAATTTTAAAACATAAAGATATAAAAATGAGCAAAATAAAATCCCAGAATATAAAAATGGCACATTATATGTCAATACAAAAAACAGGACAAAATAAGCAAAATACTGTTTAAATATACATTCACAGGTGGTAAAACTATAAATAAACGCAAGGAGTGATTATCACAGAATTCAGCATAATGGACTTCCTTGACAGTCCAGTGGTTAAGAATCAGCCTTCCAATGCAGGGGATGCGGGTTTGATCCCTGGTCAGGGAACGAAGATCCCACATGCTGCGGGGCAACTAAGCCTGCATACTCTAGAGTCCACGCACTGCAACTACAGAGAAGCCCACGCACTGCAACGAAAGATCCCGTGTGCCACAACTAAGACCCCACACAGCCAAATAAATAAATAAATAAGAATTCACATAATGACTGTTATCTGGAGGGAGGGCCTTAAGAGGTACTATAAATTTCTATTGACCTGGATGGCAAGTACATGGATGGGTGCTTGAATTACTATTATTTTTTCAACTATACAAATACTTCATATGTGGGGACTTCCCTGGTGGCACAGTGATTAAGAATCCGCCTGCCAACACAGGGGACACGGGTTCGATCCCTGATCTGGGAAGATCCCACATGCCACGGAGCAACTAAGCCCATGTGCCACAACTACTGAGCCTGCACTCTAGAGCCCACATGCCACAACTACTGAAGCCTGTGTGCCTAGAGCCAGTGCTCCACAACAAGAGAACCCACTGCAATGAGAAGCCTGTGCACAACAAAGAGTAGCCCCTGCTCGCTGTAACTAGAGAAAGCCCACACCCACAGCAACGCAGACCCAATGCAGCCAAAAATAAATAATAAATTTTTAAAAAATAAATTCATTAATAAAAAATACTTCACATGTGCTTCTTTGCATGTAATATATATTTAGTAATTTTTTAAAACTTAAACCCCTCCAGATTGGCATAATGCCAACTTTACAGATAAGGAAAGAAAATTACATAAATTATCCAAAGTTAACACCACAGCTATAAGTTGCTGAATTGAAACTTGAAATCATGTATGCCAAATTTCAAAAGCTATGCTCTTTCCTCTATATTACATAACTTCTGCTCTATCTACTGGATAGTAAGACTTATACAACTACTAAGTGCTGGAATTCTGTGACTTAGGTGAGAAAAACACCATTAATCTTTGCTAACAGGGCTTCCCTGGTGGCGCAGTGGTTGACAGTCCGCCTGCCGATGCAGGGGACATGGGTTCGTGCCCTGGTCCAGGAGGGTCCCACATGCCATGGAGTGGCTGGGCCCATGAGCCATGTCCGCTGAGCCTGCGTGTCCGGAGCCTGTGCTCCGTGGCAAGAGGCCACAGCAGTGAGAGGCCCGTGTACCACAAAATAAAAAATCTTTGCTAAAAATATGCAAATATAAGCTAATGACCAATTGACAACAGAACCGGTGCTATTATCTTCCAATGTTAATGATGTTCCTCCTGTAACAATTTTTCACACTCGCAGATACCTGGTCATAATTAAAGGTTTAGCTTTTCTCAAGCTAGCTAACCTGTATGAGAATCAAACCAATTAAATGATGCTACATTTATTTCATTAGCATCTAGCACTAAAAAAATGGTCTACTGATGCCAAGATTTTCAGTTTCTTCTCTTATACATAAGCCCTGCTAAAATGAAGAGGAGAGAACTTAACCTAAGGAATCCTGGAGTTCAAATCCTGAAGCTTCCAATTAAGAACTATTTTGACCTTGAGCAAATTATCAGTACTCTACCTCTTTGAGCCTGTTTTCTATCCCACAAAATTTTTGCCAGAAATAAATGAGATAATGCAGTATAAAAATTTTAGGTCACTGCACTATATTTCATAGATGTGCAACAAATGCTCATTTCCTTCCTTTATTCTAGGAATGGGAAAGAAAAAACAAATTGAGAAGCGAAAAGATAGCCAGAAAAATAAAGTAGAAGAATCTTTAAGAGCAGTTTCTCAGGCAAAAACAAAAACAATTTAGTGGTAATAAAGATTTCCCTCCATTAGCAGCAGTAATAAATATAAACAAAATTCAGCTCTCAAGATTCTATTTCCTGTATAGTCCTTTGATGAAGATGAGAACTTTACAGTTATTAAAAGGTAGTATTCCCTCAGAGTTCCTATAAAGGATTAAGATTAAATTACATTAAATTACAGAGTTTCTGATCTGCTATTTATTTTACTATATTGAATCAGTTTTTCAAATTACAGAACAACTCAGCAATATATCATGGTACAGGAAATGTAAACCAAATCTTTTACCTTTTGGATTCAGGAGGCTGTCTCTTCTTTATCATTTCACGGAGTCTTGCAGCTGACTGAAAAATACACAAAACATACACATGTAAAAAAACACTATCTTATAACTACATAGCTTACCTTCTAAAATATTAAGTATCTGCTACTGTTTCCACACTAAACCAAGATCTATATAGCAACAAAAGAACCTTGAGATATGATACCTGTTCTTCTACTAGACATGAGACAAATACACTATCAATAATAAAAACAAGTATATAATACTATCTAATGTACTGACATTCTGATACCTTGGACCAAGTTGCTAACAAGTTTACATGATTAAACATTTATCAAATATACTACAAATTTAAAAGTTTAAATTCTACTACAGGCAATCCTACTTTGGTGTTTTCCAGAAAAGCTACAGGTTATAGTTCCACAAATCAAATCAGAATTTCTATTAACTAGAATCAAAATCAGAGATACTTTTGTCTAAATTTCTTATGAATTTTCAACTGTTAGTGACTCAACAATTTAGTCCCTTATATTAACTCACCCTCCCTCCCCTCAAGATGCAAATACACACTGAATATTTAGGAATCTGGTATTCAGAGAAACCAAATAGTTATTTAATAAAGCCAAGGATTTAATGTATTTTGGGGGAAAACATCACACACCCTCCTAAACAGCTATTCTCTCACACATAGAAATTTTACCCCAGTGTGAAGACCTTCAGTGTAAATTATACCTTTAGTAATAATGATTATAAAACATTAGCATACTTCTGGCCACTTATCCTTAAAGTTTCCTATACAAAGCATATTCCCATATATTCTTTTTTTTTTTTTTTTGGCCTTGACATGCTGCATGAGGGATCTTAGTTCCCTGACGAGGGACTGAATCTGCACCCCCTGCAATGGAAGCTCGGAATCTTAACCATGGGACCTCCAGGAAAGTTCCTCGCATCTATTCTTGAAGTTTAAAAAAAAAGCAGTCCTCTCTCTCCTCTACCACACATCCCTTAACTCATCCCTCCCACTTCACCTTTAACCTTTAGTTAAAGCAACCTCTTGGAACATACCCTGTTTCTTTGAATCCAAGACAACTATTCATAAGACACCATTATTTTATGTACTACCAAAAAAGGGGTGAGGGGAAGCTGCCAGTTATAGTTTTAATATGCCAATTTCAAAAAAATGTCTTGGAATCAATAAAATATGGTAACCTCTTTCTATTAAGTGAAAATCTTGCTCCTAGCTTTACCCTCCCTCATTTGACACTATGAAACCTGATACTATGAGTATTTTATCAACCTACTGGCAAGAGGAATAGTATCTCAGTTTTAATTAGAAACTCCACACAAACCTCAGACAACTGAAGAGAAGCAAAAAAGTTTGCATTTTCTGATATGTTCTTCAGTCTCTTCTTTTCGTATGGTGACAATCCTGAAAAATCATCCTATGAAATTACACCAAAAAGATTCTGTTACTTTATATAATCCATAGCAAAAGTGTCTCACAAAACTAGTTGTTGCATGCTCCACATGTATATTTTCCTTTGAATTGCACCTACTCTAATTATTTTATGTTATCTTACCAAACAGGACATAATCTTTGCTGCATTGAATATTGAGATAAAGAGTCTGAGTTTGGGATAATCACAGAATATATGTATGGCTTCCCAATTAAATAACAAGTGATCTGATGTCAGAAGTCAGGTAGTGTAACCTAACAGCACATTACTTCCTACTGGCCGTTAATTGTACTATTTCTCAAAGTTATCTTTTTATTAAACAAAACAAGAAAAAACTCAATAACAAATTTTTTAATTCATTGAAATGGTTAAAGAAATTCAGAAAAGAGAACAAAGAAAGAGAAACACATGGGCAAAAAAGACAACTTTGAACTAGAAAATCTTGGAGGTCCAATATCCAACTAATAGTCGTAGGGGGAAAAAAGGAACAGAGAAAATGGAGAGAAAATCATTAGAGAAATAATACAAGAAAGTTTCTCAAAACTGAAGAAATGAGTTAACAGATTAAAAGGGCCTGACGTGTATGCAACACAATGAATGAAAAAAGACTCAAGCCTAGGCACATCATCACAAAATTTCTCAGTTCCTGAGATGGGTGAGTTAAGAGAAGATCCCAAAAGCTTGCAGAGGGAAAAATAGACCACAAAGAACCAAGAATCAGAATGATACTAACTTCTCAATATCGAGGAAGCTGGAAAACAATGGAAGAATATGTTAAAAATGATAAGGAAAAATTAAATTATTTTCAACTTACAATTCTAAATCCAGTTAAGCCAGCAATCAAATAAAAAGCATAAAGACTTTTTCAGACATGCAAACTATCTTTCATACACCTGTTTTCAGGAAGTTACTATAAGCTGCACTTCATCAAAATGAGAGAATAAACCAAGAAAGAGAAAGACAGGATCCAGGCTACAGAAGCTCCAACACAGGACAGATAAAAGATAAAAGAAATTTAAAAGAAAGCAGTAAAAAGAAGGCCAAGAAAGAGTAAAACAGTCCAGAAAGAAGTAGGAAGATGGAGGGCCCCAGAAAATATTTCATGAATAAAATACATATATATACATGAAGCCATTAGAATTATGTGATTTACATTGAGAGAAATTTTGCAACTCAGGTAAAGCTTGGACTATATGTAATAAGGATCTGGGAAGGGAAAACATGGGGTGGGGGGAGAAGGGGACAGCACACATGTGTAAACTTCATTTTCCATAGTAAGTCAATAGATAATGTGGAGGAGAAAAGCCAAAATGGCTTAAAGTGCAATTTGTCTGTTGAGCAGCAACCACAAATAGGTATGTCACAGAAAATTGTTGGCTGTTTTGATTTGTTCCTGTGTATACATGTGTGTACATATGGAATTACCTCTATGTAAAATACATATACACACACACGTGGAATTATATGATGTAAACACATATGTACATGCATCAATTTGACCAAAATAAAGATTTTTCTCACACACATAAAATAACAGTGGCAGCAAAGGCTATTTTGACATTGCCTTTAAAATTGCTTCTCAGAGAAAAACATCACCACCATCATCATCAAGAACTTCCTAAGAAACTATTTCAAAATGGTGCATTTGGCGATCAAAGAAACAAACTTAAATGATTCTACTTACCACAGGAAAAATTAAGAAAATTAACAAAAATCATCAGACATTTTTTTGAGGTATGTGTAATTCAAACTATTCTCACCCATTACCCACCCCTCAAAAACCTGCAACATCAAACACTGAGCAAAGAATATCAGACAGGGACTTCCTTCATGGCGCAGTGGTTAAGAATCTGCCTGTCAATGTGGGGGACACAGGTTCGATCCCAGGTCTGGGAAGATCCCACATGCCACAGAGCAACTAAGCCAGTGGGCCACAGCTACTGAGCCTGCGCTCTGAGAAGCCCATGCACCGCAATGAAGAGTAGCCCCTGCTCTCCACAACTAGAGAAAGCCCGCAAGCAGCAATGAAGACCCAATGTAGCCAATAACTAAATCAATAAATAATTTTTAAAAAAAAAGAATATAACACAAAGTGGGCTCTCAAAGTAAATATATTATAGAAAATAGATATCTTTTTAATTCCATTATCTTGACACTTGAGAAGTTACTGCATCTATAAAACAGGAAAAGAAATGCTATCTTTAAAAAAACGAAAGGAAAATAACTTGAATTAAAAATATGCTTGGGGGCTTCCCTGGTGGCGCAGTGGTTGAGAGTCCGCCTGCCGATGCAGGGGACACGGGTTCGTGCTCTGGTCCGGGAAGATCCCACATGCCGTGGAGCGGCTGGGCTCGTGAGCCATAGCCGCTAACCCTGTGCATCCGGAGCCTGTGCTCCACAACGGGAGAGGCCACAACAGTGAGAGGCCCACGTACCACAAATGCTTAATGCCAAAAATTTACATACTGTATGAAGACAAATACAATATTCTCCAAATGACAAAACTGTAGACATGGAAAACAAATTAGTGGTTGCCAGGGGTTAAGGATGGTGAGAAGGAGGGCAGTGGGCATAACTATAAAGGGGTAGCCTAACAGAGATCTTTGTAGAGATGGAGTATTTCTGTATCATGATTGTGGTGGTGGCTACATGAATCTATACATGTGATAAAATGATACAGAACTATACACACACCTTATACCAATATGAATTTCCTGGTTTTGATATTGCAATGTAGTTATTTAAGATGTACTCATTGGGGGAGTTCCCTGATGGCCAAGTGGTTAGGACTCTGTACTCTCACTGCCAGGGGCCCAGTTCAATCAAAAAACAAACAAGATGTCCTCATTGGGGAAAACTGGGTGAAGAATACATGAGACCTCTCTGTACTACTTTTGCAAATTGCTATGAATCTGTAATCACTTTTAAATAAAATTTTTTTAAAATATACATTTCTCAGCTAACATCATACTTAATGGTGAAAAACTGAAAGCTTTTGCCCTAAACTTCGGAACAAGATAAATATGTCTGCTCTCGCCACTTCTGTTAAACATTGTACTGGAAGTTCTAGCCAGGACAATTAGACAAAAAAGGAAATAAAAGACATCCACATTGGAAAGGAAAAAAATATAACTATCTTTATTGCCAATGACATAATCTTATACGTAGAAAATCCTAAAGAATCCACACAAAAAAATTAGAATAAATGACTTAAGCAAAGTTGTAAGATACAAGATCAACATACAAAAATAAGTTGTATTTCTATACATTATCAATGAACAGTCAGAAAATGAAATTAAGAAAACAATACCATTCATAATAGCATCAAAAAAATATATATATACTTTGACACAAATTTAGCCAAAGAAGTGCAAGGCTTGTACACAGAAAATTACAAAATATTGAAGGAAATTAAAGAAGATCTAAGTAAATGGAAAGACATCTCATGTTCATAGATTGAAAAACTTAATATTGTTAAAATGGCAATACTTCCCAAATTGACCTACAGATTCAGTGCAACATCTGTCAAAATTCTAAATGTCATTTTTGCAGAAATGGATAAGCTGATCCTAAAATTCATATGGCAATGCAAGGGACACAGAATGGCCAAACAATCTTGAAAAAGAAGAACCAAGTTAAAAGACTCACACTTCCTGATTTCAAAACTTAACTACAAAGCTACAGTAGTTAAAACAGTGTGGAACTGGCATAAGGATAGGCAGATAGATCAACTAAATAAAACTGAGTCTAGAAATAAACCTATATACCTATGGTGAATTTGTTTTCAATAAGGAAGTCCAGACCATTCAACGTGAAAGAAGAGTCTTGACAACAAACGGTTCTAGGACAAAAAGATATCCATATGCAAAAGTATGAATTTGGACCCCATCTCATATCATATAAAAAAATTAACTCAAAATAGATCAAAGACCTAAATTTAACAGCTAAAGCTATAAAATTCTCAGAAGGAAATATAGGTGTAAGTCTTCATAACCCTGGCATAGGCAATGGTTTCTTAGATATGACACCAAAGCACCAGCAACAAAAGAAAAAATAAACTGACCTCAAATTAAAATTTTTAAATGAAACTTAAACTTAAAACATTTGTATGTCAAAGGACATTATCAAGAAAGTGAAAAGAAAGTCCCAGAATGAGAGAAAATATTTGCAAATAATATATCTAATAAGGACCTAGTGTCCAGAATACATAAAGGACTCTTACAATTCAACAAGAAAAAGACAACTTAGGGGCTTCCCTGGTGGCGCAGTGGTTGAGAGTCCACCTGCCGATGCAGGGGACACGGGTTCGTGCCCTAGTCTGGGAAGATCCCACATGCCACAGAGTGGCTGGGCCCGTAAGCCATGGCCACTAAGCCTGCGCATCCGGAGCCTGTGCTCCGCAACGGGAGAGGCCACAACAGTGAGAGGCCCACATACCGCAAAAAAAAAAA